TCATATGATGTCTTGTGGCGCTGCAGCGGCAGCAGAACAGGGACACTTCTATCCCTGTGCCATCTGATCGACACGCTGCTCCTTGTCACATGTGCATGTGCTAAGAGCAGAAAGCGGGTCACCGGCAGTACCAGCCCTCGGCCATGTGCTGCTGCTTACGTACCGGTTTAGGAAATGCCACTTCCCAGCCGTCTCAGGTTTTTGTTCCTGCTTTGTTTGAGTTAATTTTATTTGTGTTGCACTTTTCAGCAACAAGGCACCAATCATGGAAAAAAAAAAAAAAACAATAAATATGAAGGGTTTCTCCCACAAAAAACTTGTACCAAAGTATTTGCACTAGAAACTGGACCCAAAATATTGGTGAGGTTTTGTGTTTTTGCAGTGCAGTGATCCACCAGCGGCCCGTCGTGGTTTCGTGTTGAAAAATGTTCCTTTCAGGTTTAATGTTATAAACCTCATTTTAATGAGAAAAGTTTCTCATTAAAACAAAAAGTAAACTTAAGAGAAACAGTAATTAAAACGAGAAACTTTCACATTAAGATATAAAAGAAAAGCTTCTTGTCAAAACAAGATATAAAGCTAATAATTAGAAAGAGAAATTTTCACATTAACCAGAAGTTTTCTGACTTTATCCCTTTAGCCTGCGAGCCGTTTTTCCATTGTATTTTCTGGGGGTTGAGGATTACATTAAAAACTTGCAGACAGAAAACAATTGGTATCGGAAAATAGAATCTGCAGGGGAGGATTTTTAAAGATCGGTAATCAGAAATCGGCCAAAAAACTGCAATCGGTTCATTGCTAGTGTTTAATCCATTTTGGTGCCAAGCCTTTTTGTGATTTATAAATCCACTGGTCAGATATTAATACCTGTATCGGTGCCGAGACTGAAAGAAAATAGATTGGGTATCAGTGAAAATAGTGGATCAGTGGATCCTGTTTGGGATAAAAGTCAACACAGGGGTGTCCAACGTGTGGCCCACAGGCCATTTGTGGCCCTTTGGTTTATTTTCTGTGGCCCCTGACCTCAAGTCCAGAAAGGCACAAATTTGTCTCTCAGAGATTTTTTGTGATTTTTTTTTTTTTTTGGGATGAGATTCTCCATGGAAAGTTTATATCTTCTTAAAATGTTCAGTAAATCAGTTTTGTAAGCCTTTCTGTCTTTTTGTAAAATATTACATGCCTTTATTATATTTATTGTAATATAACAGATTAAGAAGAATTTATAGTACATTGGCAAGGAGTTGGTAATTATTCTGAAGCTGTATGTCTGGTTGTTATTGTCATTATTATTATCCAGATTTTCTTGTCTTGTTATGAGTTGGTTTGTAACCATTTTGTCTGTGTAATATAATTTAATTTTTGTCTCCTTAGCCCAGTATTTTGAACAGGCATGTGAATCCTATAACACGGCTTAATAAATATTGATAATTGTTGAGATAATGGGTAGGATTAATTAAGTGATCACTTCCTTTCAAACAGAAAAGTGGAGCTATTTATTTTGTTCTTGGTTGCGTTTTCTCTGTCCTACTGATTGCCTCTTTTCTTGTTTTAAAAACCTGTTTGAAATAAATAAAACGAATCAAAAGAAAAAAGAGGGAAGAGTAAATTTTGGCCCCTGAATTTTTCCAAGTTGGGGATTTTGGCCCTGGGGGTAAAAAGTTTGGACACTAAAGAGAAGAATAGCTGCTTCATCTTCCTGCCATCTCTCCGTTTTCTCCTCAGCAGCCTTTCACCCTTACACTTGGATAATTCCTCTCTAATCATCTCTGGCTCCTCTTCCTCTCCACCCTCATTGGCCCCGCCGCCCCCCACCTCCTACCCTCCGCTCACCTCATCAGACAGGGCTTCACCACCTCCATCCCCTCGGCCCGTCCTCTCTCACTGACCCGTGCTCCCCCCAGTCACAGGGCGTTGTGTCTCTACCTGCCAGGCTCCCTGACAGCCCCGCGTCCCCCCCGCCGCCTCCGCCCCGCGCCCCCCGAGAGGAGACCGCCTGCCCATCCGGAACGCTGCCGTGGCAACCCTGTCGTGCACCCCCGCCCCCTCCGCCGGCCCGGTGTCGACCAGAACCGGCATGGAGGGTTTGACGAAGTCCTTCGCTTCCCTCTCTCATCTCCACTTTCTGTCTCTGGATCTCTCATTATTATAATTTTACCCGTCCTCTTTCTCGAAGATTTTCCTTTCTTCCTCTGACCCGACTAACACGTCTACAAGTTTTCCTCTCTTGGACCCTCGATGAAATGTTTTCTTCCTCTGCAAGGCGAGGCAGAGTTAGACGGAGAGGAAGTTTAATGACTTCTTTTACAACCTGAGGACTCGTGTTTGTTGTTGTTGGTAACAGGGTTCATGCAGGTTTCCCCAACTCAAATTTAAGACTTTTTAAGACATTTATGAATAAAACTTTAGACCTCTATCCAGGGTTGTGACTTTGATTCTTCATTGTCACGATAAGTTCCATTAATGATGTTTAAAAAAACCCTAAATGTCATGTAGAGTCTGTTTGTTGATGTAGACAGGAGCTTGGAACATTGATCATGTTCAATTTTATTTAATAATAAACCTGGAAATCTACAAAAATCATCGGGAACGCAGGGAGCCAGAGCAGAACAAAAACAGGAACCAGGAACGAGAAGTAATCAGGGTACTGACGGGGATAACAGGGACTTAACTGAATAACAAACAAACCTCAAAATAACTCAGAAGAACCCAACACCAACACTAAAGATGTCCGTATTGTCAGGATTTTGTTTTTAGAATTTTTCTCTGTTGAATAAATTTGAAATTATGATTAACAGCAGTTATTGAGTGCATTTCAGTGATAAAAATCACTTTTGTTTATGTGACTGGGGTCCTGAAGATATTTATTACAAATGGATGGAAATATACAGTTTCCTAAAACAGTCACTTTAATATCACAATAGCAAATGCTGGGACAAAACTTTTAAATGTCTGTGGCTTTTGGCTGCAGCTTCGTGCTCTCTAGCTAACTAGCCAGCTAATGAGCCACATGTTAGCAGTTAAAGAGCCACATGCTAGCTGCTATTTAGCCACATGCTAGCTGCTATTTAGCCACATGCTAGCTGCTATTTAGCCACATGCTAGCTCACTAGTTCTACTTTGGACTTGATAAGACCCAGTGGACCAAAGGTTGCCATTATCTCTGTGACTTGTGCACATTTTCATTACCACACTTTTTCCTTCCACTAAGCTTTCCAAGATACAGCAATCTGTAAATATCCTGTGTCTTTAGTGATTACTGTGTATTGTACCCTCTTTGTGAATGGCTCAGATTTTGTTGGACATTAGTTGATTAAAACTGAAACAGAATTTTGCGTTCCCATGATCTGTCATCCAGAATCATCAACATAAAATTAAAACTGTCAAATATCTCTTTGGGTTCTGAGTCTTTGTGATTTTCACTGTTTAAATGGACATACCCAAATAAAATATATTTTAAATGAAATTATAAGCTATTGAGAGACACCTGTTTATAATTATGAGTCACAAAATGCAGAAAAGAAAGTTTTCTTAGACTAAAATAAAGCATCTAAGGAAAGAAAATTCTTAAGAAAAGGTGCCAACAAATGAAGGGAATCCTATGTTCATTAAAAAGTTACCCGACTGTGTTCTAGCAAATAATTGCAGTTTATGACTTGAGCTGTAATGAGATCTCCTGGCCAGATACTGAGCCATATTATACACTTTCTCTCATCAAAGTGAAGGTTATCTGGTGATGGGTCAACCTGTTGCTGTCAGCAGCAACATCATCTGGTAGAAAAACCTCTGAGCTCCGACATGAAGCCAGGTGACAACTTGACTTGACAACCTGTATCTGTGCTTAAAGGGGCGGTATTATGTGTCTTCCAGGCACAAAGTGCCATTTTAAAGCACAACAGAATAAAATATGTTACCTTCAGTTGCTGCATATGAAAAATTATATTAAATAAATTTGACTTTATAATTTAATGTCTTGAAATTGGGCCTCTGTCTCTTTAAGAAGTTCCTGCTCTTTCTGAAACTCCGCCTCCAGGAAGTCATCCCAACATGGCTCCTCTGTTAACCCTTTAACGACGTTTCTACCAGCTTTGCTCTGAGAAGTAGCTCTATAATGAGCTTAGCAGTCTGCTGCTGCCGCTAGTCTGAAGGAGCTGAATGAGGGAGTGTTGCTGTGCCTGAAAGCCAGAAACTGCATCTCAGAGGAGGAGCTGCGTCTCGGAGGCGGGGCTAAGTCCACTCAGGCGTTCTGCTCAGCTGAATGGTTGCCATGGAGATTAAAGGATTTCTCAAACATGCATGAAAGAATCAAAGTAACACTTCATTTATGTTTTTGATGAGGAAATAACATTATAACATGATTTAAAGCTCAAAAAAGTTGATTTTACATAATATCGCATCTTTAGGACTTTTATTTTGAAATAAGAAAGTGAGTTGTTCTGGAGTTGGAGCCATTTCAGGTTCGTGTTTGGAGAAGAAAACGTTAACAAACGATGGATGGATTAATATTGCTGATTAATTTAATTATTCAAACACCAAACATGCGTTAATACACATAAAGAAAACTGTTTTAGCACTACTGCTAAAGTTAACATGTATGGTGTTTCTTAAAAGCAGAGGTCAGCTGTACATTACATCTAGTGGATCTTAACTTAGATCCTTGCTGCCTACCAAAGAATATCCACACAACAAATGACAAAATTACAGGAATCAGGTTTTCTTCTTTACATTGAAGCTGTGAAAACTAAACCTCAAAGCCACTGATAGCAGAAAATGTTAATAAATTTAAAGCAACAAGAAGCCAAAGAGACATTCTGAATGTAAGGAAACAAATTTCTACAAGCAAACCATGATGATGGTTTGTGTTAAGATGGAAGCACATAATACAACACAAAGTATTTTAGAGTAAATATATAAATACTGACAGCAAATATTAAGTCAAGTGACTCAGTTTTAGTTTTACTTGCAGTTAGCAAGAAATTACTGTTACATAAACTATTGTTGGGTTTAAAATACTGATTATTAAAATAAAACCAGGAGTTTATACAGAAAATATTGGCAATATTTACTAAATATTGCTGTGTGCCTTTGTTGAGTGGACTTTTACTGCAGCTGCTTGTGTTGTTGTGCTTCATGTCCCTGATCAGGTCCGCCTCTTCGTGGGGCAGTCAGTTAGCATAAAGCTATTATGAGACATAAGCAATGACATCATGTGTCTGAAATGTGTCTTTGTCTATCGCAGCGAGCTTCAGTGGTATCAACGTATCCATCTACGGATGAGGCAGGAAGTTTACAGACAAAACTGAAAGACGCACAGATTTTTCTCCCTGAAGGGAAACCAGACCAAACATCTCTTGTTTTAGATCATATGGAATTAAACGCATCAAGAACGAAGGCAACTTCCTACTTTGACACATTTTAGATACTTGGAGTCTCACCTGTGGATGTATTTTAAGGTCACACCTGAGAGTCACTGCTTTCTGGTTTGATGGGAAACCTCAAAATATTCCTGCAGCTGCTCCAGTGTGATTCATCCAAAGAAACATTTCCAGATGCTTGAAGGTGAAGATTCATCTGTGTAAACAATTATATTCAAGTATGAACATGATGGGAATGTCCAACGCTCAGGAAGGAGGCGGGTTCTGGTCCGAAACGTGCAGACTGACCGCAGAGCAAAAGCCAGAATCGTCGTGAAAATGCTGCTGGTGAGACAGAGTCGTTATCCACAGTGAAACATGGACTGAATGCCAATCAGTGAGGAAGAAGCCAATTCAGCAAGAAGAAACATGAGAAGAATAAAAGAGCTTCATTTGTGGAGATATTTCCTGTAGTTTGATGAAACCACAGGTTTGGACACAAAGACCACCGTTAACCGGGACGCTTGTATCTGACGGTTGTACCGAAGGATGGGGGTGGCAGCATCATGCTCTGGGCTGTTTTACTGCAGCAGCAACTGATGAACTTTATAACACATCACAAGGAAATAACATTATGTGGAAATATTGAAGGCAGGAAGTAAAACACTGGGCACAGAACCGTTTTCCAGATGGAAATTAACCCTAAATAAACAGTTAAAGTGGTTCTAAACATGCAGGCAGAGTTTACAGAGTGGCTTCAGGATCACAAAGTCCTGATCTCAGTCTGATGGGGAGGTTTTGGGTAAATCTGAAAACTGGTGACAGAACCAGGCAGCCTACAAATCTGACCCAGTTCCACCGGTTCTGTCAGGAGGACCGGACCAGATCTCCAGCTCACCACAGAGAAGCTTTGGAGGGAAACCCAAAATGACCCGAGTCATAAAGGCAACAATGCCAAACACAGAGGAAGTGTATGTAAACTTCTGAATCTGAAGACACTGATAAATACATATCTGACATAATTCTGTCGTTATTGTTACTTCACCTAAAACAGGAGAAGTTTGCTCTGATTTAACTTCAGAAAGAAGAAAACATCAGATTTATGTTTTCATTCAGTGTATGTAAACTTATGGATTCTTCTGGTTGAAATATGATCAACTTTTATATCAGAGATCAAGCTAAAATCTGCATTAGAAAAGACGGGTAGTCGTCTTGGGTTAGTATCACAGTAAAACAAGCAGGAGGCCAACATCCAGACATAATAATCTGAAATTAATTACTTTTGTCAAATAAATCAAAAGACCAAAAGTGAAACAGCTTTCAGACAGTAAGCAGACGTCCTGCTTTGCTTCGACTGCGTGAGCAAAGCATTTTTTTCCCAACAAGTCATCTGCGTGGGCATCTGCTGCGCAGCGCTGCAGCAAAGTTATGGGAATCACGCTTTCTCCTCATTAACCTTTGTGAGCAACAGGGAAGTCCACGGCTGTTTGTGTCATAAAAATAAAAAAATAACTGCAATGACCTCAGAGCAGCTCAGATGCAGGCCAGAAGGGCTGCGAAGCATCTGACTCCCCCCAGAAAGCAAACGCTGAGCTAAGAGGGACATGTGGGTTACATTAGCAAGGAGAGTCTTTATTTATGGCACACACATGACAAGGAACATAACCGCTAACACAACGACAAACACACAAACACTCCCAAATAAATGTCACACAAATCATCCTGTGGCCGTGAAAACCGTCCAGCGCAACTTTCTCATTAAGTCTCTATCCTCATCCCGATGAGCTGAAAGAAAGAAAAATTAGAGCGTCTTCTGTCTGTTCCTGGTCACACAACAACGAAACAAACGAAGAAGAAGAAGCGATTAGGATCCCGCCATCAGGTTTCAATTACACGGAAAAGGTGGGGAGGGTTAAGTGAACATCAAGTCATATTAAACTACAACAGGAGGCCAATGGCATTGTGGGACTTTGATGAAAGCTCTCGTGCATTAACACACACTCTCACATGTGGCCAACGTACATTATTTAATTATCACAAGCGTGGCCAAAGCCCTGACTTCCCGCTCCAGCTTAACCACTTCCACCCAGAACAAGAACCTGTGAGTCGGAAAACATGGATGAGATAGTAAAAAAAAATAATAAAAAATGTCGCGTCTACATCTGGAGTTAACAGAGTCCATACAAACCCAGCTGTGTGCGAGTACTGTTGCAGATTAGTCCGTGTTGCATCATTTTATTACGTTGAACCAGGATGTAATAAAAATAAAAATCATCCACAGAACCTCGCAGGACTATCCACACTGCAAATTTAAAAATACGTTTTTCATCCCGGTTTCATGTGACAAAGTAATGAAGAACGGCGGAAGAAAAACTTTGGGTTTCAAAGGAAAAAAATCTGAAAAGTGTGGCATGCATTTCCACTCAATCCACTGCAGAACCAACTTCCAGGCTGATTCCAGCTGAAGGTCTTTTGGAGAGATTGCTGGACAGATTCTCAGTCTGGACTTTGATTAGGCCATTCTAACACATGAATCTGCTTTAATCCTGTACATTTCATGGTACTTCATGTGAGCTCAATATGAGCTAAAGTGCGACACGTACGGTTAGCTTACCAAATAATTGTGTTTAAAAATAACAATGGATGATTGGGTTAGGACCGGGTCACTCAAAAAAAAGAAAGAAAAGCAGAAAATACCACTGGAAAGAAAACGAGGAGGATTTATACTAAAACCAGCACAATGGAGCAGATAGATATTTTTAGGGGTGTCAGAGTTTAGGGGGTTGAACACAATTTCAAGCCATGTTTTCAGATTTTTAAGAAGTGAAAAGTGATGCACTACTTTGTCTGAAATCCCAGTGAAACACGTTGAGCTTGGTGGTTTTAATGTGACAGAATGTTTCAGCGGTTTGAACACATCTCAGCTGCAGTCGTCCACGTCTCAGACTTTCTTTCCTTTCTGTCACCTGTCTCTGCACATTCAATCACTCCCAGAGAAGCAGAGAAATGGCCTCCATATTCCCACAGGCGAGACATAAAGAGCCGCGAATGGATGGATGGCAGGTGGCAAGGGAAGTGGGGGACGAAACCAGCGGCTAAATTATTGAGTGACACTTTGCTTTGAGACGCACAAACACACTCATAAAACAGGAAAGTGAAGGCATTAGAACGGTTAGCCTCCTGAATGCACCCGACAACTCGAGTACGCGCTAACCGGCGTCAACGCCGTCCGACCGGGCCGGGCTGTTAAAAGTTTTACGCCGCCGCTCAAAGGGACGCGGCGGCTCCTGAGAGGCCGTCTGTGGGTGAGTGGCCCTGTCATCGCCGCTAATAAATAAGTAAATACATGAGTGGAGTGGCTGAGCCCGGTGCCTCACTGGGAGTTTTCCCCTCGTAAAGACTCAGTAAATTGGTGCCCACACCTGTGCGTGTGTGTGCCTGAGAGTCCGGAGGGAGGAACAGCTTCGGTTTTGCCACCGTTTTCCAGGCTTGAATGTGCCAAAGTGGGATTTTGTTCACTTAAGTTACTTCAGGTCTTGATTTTCCGTGACAAGGCTGGGGCTCAATGGGTGGGCTCGGGCCTAATTCGGTACATAGGAGACAGGATGACGGGCGACTTGCCACAGTCGACTGAGACTCGTTAAGGTCTGATCAGAGAGACACTCACAGCCAAACGGCTTCCTACGCTGCTGCAAGAGCAAAGAGCTGCAGAAAACACGAGATTATCCGAGATAACCCTAACCCTAAACCGACTAACTGCAGGTTTACAATCTTCAAATAAAATATCTAAAGACGTGAACAGGATTTAAGTCACGCTGCACAGAAAAACGTCAGCTGTGTTTGTGATCTGGACAGGGTGCAACGATTAATCAGATTAATCGTGATGAATAATAATTATTATTAAATAATCGTCAACTAATTTAGTAATTGATTAATCGTTAACTGACATATACAGAATCAAAAAGGATATTTGATGAAAAAACAACATACTTAAAGCAGTAATTAAGCTAAAACTACACTATAAATATATATAGATATACAGTTTCCATTTAAGATAAAGGAAAACCTTTAAATTTCTTTTTCTTTGCAGAACTAAAGTGGTAGTTTTAACTTCACCTGTTTAGGAGGATTGTTATAGCTGCAGATAAAAATAACCAGCGTTCACTGAAGGAATCCTGTTACTGCATTTTAGGCAATAAACTGTTCATTTTGTAATTTAAAAAAGGAATTACAAAAAGCAGTGTTTGTTCCTGATTTTCTCAACTGGTGACTGTATAATGTTTTTATGACTTTTTACTTTCATCTTTTCATGATGTAAACGAAGCATTTTGAACTGCCTTGTTACTGAAATGTGCAATACAAATAATCCTGAATTTGAAATTTGAAAAATGCCTGGAAATCTGAAAATAGGACTAATTTACTGCAGTTTAATGATAAAAATCACTTTTCTTTAAGTAACTGGTGTCCAAAAGAAACACGTGTCATGCAGTCATAGCTATAACCTAAAAAAATGGTCGTTTTCTTCGTCACTTTTATCATAATTTCAATAGTAGCACAAAATATTGTGATAAAACTTTAGTCCACATCGCCCCCTGCTACGTAGTATCATGAATTAAACACGAAAAACAGAAAGAAAAGGTTGATAATCGACTCCTCTGGTCACAGACTGAAGCCCTTTATGATTCGTACAGCAGAATTGACCAGACACCAACCGAACGGCGTTTAAATGTCTGGGTGCGTCGGCATTACGGCGCGCACTCGTGCTGCTGTATGTGTGTTTTCTTATTGTAAAGCCTGCTAATTGCAGCTGAGACTCCGTTAATTAACACAAAGAGAGGTCTCTGGTGAACGCACAGGCTCTGTGAGTGTGTCACGAGTTTTCATCCAGCTAAGCTGCGGGACGCAGCGGCCTAATCAAAGCCTTTTAAGTCCTGCCATGCTCACACTGGAGGATTAACTGAAGACACACTTTAGTCGTGGAAAACGAGACAAGCGAGAATCAAGCCGGTCGAAAGCAAAAAACAGGAGTGAATACAGAGCAATCTCTTGAAAACCAATAAATCAGACAGTAAATGTGCGATATTTAAGTTGCTCAGACGTAAACATGGCGGAGTTGGACGGGATGTTTGATGCACTGGAGGAATGACTCGATCTGCCTCAATGTCTCAGCTTCCCTTTGTCCGCCCCGCCATCTTCCTTCGCTCTCCTTTTGTTTTG